TGGGATGGAGATGCGGGATGGAGGATCTGGGATGGAGATGCGGGATGGAGGATTTGGGATGGAGATGCGGGATGGAGGTTTTGGGATGGAGGTGCGGGATGGAGGTTTTGGGATGGAGATGCGGGATGGAGGTTTTGGGATGGAGGTGTGGGATGGAGGATTTGGGATGGAGGTGTGGGATGGAGGATTTAGGATAGAGAATTTAGGATGCGGATGTGGGATGTAGGATTTAGGATGCAGATGCGGGATGGAGGATTTAGGATTTAGGATGGAGATGCAGGATTCAGGATGCAGATGTGGGACAGGATTTAGGATGTGGATGCAGGGTGGAGGATTTAGGATGCAGATGGGGACAGGACTTGGGATGTAGATGCAGGATGTGGGATGGAGGGTTTGGGATGCAGGTGCAGGATGGAGGATTTAGGATATAGATTCAGGATGCAGGATGGAGGATTTAGGATGCAGATGTGGGATGTGGGATTTGGGATGCAGATGTGGGATGGAGATTTAGGATGCAGATGTGGGGTGGAGGATTTAGGTTGCAGATGGGGGACACAGGATTTGGGATGTAGATGGGGGATGGAGGACTCAGGATGCAGATGCAGGATTTAAGAAAAAAATACAGGATTTCGGAAGCTGATACAGGATCTGGGATGGAGGATTTAGGCTGCAGACCCAGATTCCCAGGTGGAAGATACAGGAGACAGATGCAGAACACAGGAGAGGGGATGGAGAAGTGGGATTTAGGATGCAGAAGTGGGATGGAGGATTTAGGATGCAGGATTGGGGGTTCAGATGGGGGATGGAGGGTTTGGGATGCAGATGCAGGTTTCCAGACACAGGACACGGATGCAGGACACAGGCGAGGGGCTGCAGAAGCAGGAGTTTGGGTGCAGATGTGGGATGCAGGATTTGGGATGCAGATGCAGGATTCGGGATGCAGATGCAGAACAGGGGATGCAGAGGTGGGATACAGGACAGGGTGACGGGAACCGGGATTTAAGGCGCAGGTGAAGGATGGCAGGTACAGGGCGCGGGATGCAGAAGCGGGATTTGGGATGCAGAGGTGGGATGCAGGATGCGGAAGAAGGATTTAGGGTACAGGCGCATGTGGGCTATGGGATGCGGGGTGGGAAATGCAGGACACGGGATGCAGAAGCGGGATTTGGGGTGCAGCTATGGGATGGAGGCCCCGGAGCATCGCGGCGCAGGCCCGGCCGTGCACAGGGACCTCGTGGCACCCCTGGAGACGGGGAGTGCGTGCAGCGAGCCGGGAAATGCAAATTTCCAAGGAAAAATTACGGCTTTCGAATTCCGTAGTGGGATTTCGCCGCTCGTCCCCCCCATCTGGGAGGCAGAGCCCGGCTGCGTGGCCACATCTGCCTGCCAGATGTGCCGGGGAGGGGACCGGAGCCCCCGCGGATGGGGAAGCCTCCCCGCTTCATCCCTGCTTTGGGAACGCCGCTCTCCCATATCACACCTGCTCCGGAGAAACGGAGCGGATGGAGGATGCGGGATGAAGGGTGCGGATGCAGGACACAGGGCGCGGGATGCAGGGCGCAACCGCAGGGTTTGGGATGCGGGATGCAAGAATCGGGATGCAGGGGGCAGCTGCAGGATGCAAGAAGCGGGGCGCAGGGCGTGGGATGAAGGGTGCGGATGCAGGATTGGGGGTGCAGGGTTCGGGGTGCAGGAGGCAAGCTGCAGAGGTGGGCCGCGGGGTGCAGCTCCGGGGTGCAGGCATGGGATCCAGATGTGGGAGGCAAGGGTGCAGGATGCAAAAGCAGGGTGCGGGGTGCAGCTCCGGGGTGCAGATGCAGCTCCAGGATGGCGAGGCACCATTTTAAGCAGGGAAAAATAGCAGAAACGTTTCCCCAGCTGTTTTTTAGGGGCAAATTTGGAATTTTCCTGCTAAGATCAGCCTTTTGGGGACTGGCAATCCAACGGATTTGCTTCTTGCAGAAGCATTTCTATTTTCTGAACTGCCTCCATCAGCTCCGTGTCCCCAGCCCAGCAAATATTACGAAAAAAAAACCCTAAAGCCGGAGAAATTCCAACCGAAAACACCCAAATCCAGCTTTTCCCTTCCTAAATCGGCGTCTCCCTCCTTTCTCCTCACCGTTTCCCTCTGCGGAGGTGCCGGAGGGGCTGGATTTTTAACTCGGGAGATGTTTTAGCTCTTGCAAAATCGTCACAGCAGCCTCGGGAAAGCCGCCACGTTAATAAAAGCAAAAATGCAGAGGAGTCTGTTAAGGAAACTCCTGCAAAAACCCCTTCCCGAAAACATCGGGGGCAACATCAGCTTTTTAGTTGGGCTTTTTCCCCACCCCCCCCCCTCTTATTCCATCGGGGACATGAGTTTTGCAGGTCACGGAGTGGCTGGAGGAGGGCGCGAGGTGGGTTTTTGCAGCAGGTTTGGCCCCTGGATCCTCCTGCCGGCGGCAGGGAGGGGTTTTGCAGGTGAAAACTTGGAATTTGCAGGTTAAAATTGGCATTTGCGGGTTAAAACCTGTAGCTATTCCCCCCGCCCCCCAAATTGGGGAATTGGCCCCCGGGATGCAGGCGGGCGGCGATGCCGGGGCCGTGGGTGAGAGGCCCCGTCGGTGCCTCTCGCCCAGCAGGCAGGAGAGGGAGAAAAATGCTTTAAAAAGGTAAAAAACCAAAAAAGCTCCGAACCCAGCAGGCTGAGGTCATTTTTTTGGGGGCGGGGGGGTGAGAAAGTCGGTTCCTTCGCCCTGCCTCCGGGTCGGGTTTAATATCAGCGGAAACGTTCTTGGGTAGGGTGGGGAGAAAGCGCCGCTCTCGCCGTCGGACCCCAAAAAACCCCAAACACCCTAAAAAAAAAAAAAAACCAACCCAAAACGCCCTAAAAACCCCCCAAAACTCCCAGCAAGCTGAGCATTGGGGGAGAGAAGAGCAAAATCAGCCCACGAAGGGGAAAAAATACCCCCCCGGGCGCGGGGAGCTGAACCTTTAAGGGGTTTTTGAGCCTCGTTTGGTGCCTGCCGGGATTTTTGGGGATGGGGAGAGGAGGGAAGCGAAGGGATCTGGCAGGGAAAACGCCTTTTTCCCCATCGTTCCGGAGGTTTTTTTCCTCTCGTAGCTTCGTTCCCTCCTTGATTTAGCGGCGTCTCGCCGGGCTCAGCACCCACCGCCACCCCTCTCGGGCAAAGGGACTTGGGCGCCAGGATCGTATCCCGCTGGAAAAGGCGTCAAAAAGGGGGGGGGGGGAAATTAAATGGGTTGCATCTGCCGTGCTTTGCTCGGAGGGCCGAGCGGCTCCGGGGGCATTCGGGGGGCCGCCCGCAGCCCCCCGCCGCTGATCAGGCTCTGGGGCAGTGATGAAGCCATTGGGTTCGCTGTCTGTATTTGTCCAAGACATGGGTCCCCCTGAGGCGTGTGTTGAAATTAGAGGACAGAACTGGTGGCTGTGCAGAACAGTCCCTTCAGAAGCCCCCATGGGATCTGGGGACACTGACTCATGAACCCTTGCTGAAAATAAGTGAAGGCTGAGGTCAGGGCCACCTGAGCTGAGTTGCTATGAGTCAGAGGATCTCTGTGCAAAAGGTGCTAGCTATAGCCATGTGGAGAATGTGTAAAAAAAAAAAAAAAAGGGGGGATAAAAAAGAAAACCGGGAGCTGAAGCGGGAAAATGAGGTTGGGGTTGCAGCGGGGCTCTGCTTCTGCAGGGATGCAGCGGGTGGCGGGGACGCTGCGTCTCCCGCGGGCCGGGCACCCCAAAAGAAAGGTGGGAAAAAATTGGACGGGAAGATCGGAGCAGGGGAAAAACCAGCATCCGGAGGGGTTCCGAGAGCCGCTGCGAGGCAGGAGCGAGGCGATGCTCCGGCTGGGGAAGGGGATTGCTGCTCCGCGCTTGCACATTCCTCCCGTCAGCAGTATTTACACGACGGCAGCGGGAGAAATGCCAGGTCAGCCGGACCAGCGCCGCCGGTTATCGCCCGGTGCCGCAGCCCGGCGGCACCTTCGCTGCTTCAGCCTCGCTTTTGCTCCCTGATCCCTTCGGTTTGGTCCTTTCCGCGCTCTGTAGGTGCAATCCTTCCTCTGCAAAAGTCCTGCTCCTGAGCAGAGCGCTCCCCAAAATTTCCCCCAGCCCAGCACCCAAAGGTGCCCCGACGCAGGGGTGCAGGGTTTGGGGTGGACGCTGTGACCCAGGTCTTCTCCTGGCAACGGGCATTAGGAGCTGTCGCAGAGGCAGGGGTGCTTGCAGCGTGCAAGGATGTTTGCAATGCATGAGGGTGGTTGCAGGATGCAGCAATGCTCGCAACACGGGGATGTTTGCAACGTGCAGGGACGCTTGCAGCATGCAAGGGTGTTTGCAGCGTGCAGGGATGCTTGCAGCATGCAAGGGTGTTTGCAGCATGCAGGGATGCTCGCAGCATGCAGGGATGCTCACAGCTCAGGGATGTTTGCAGCATGCAGGGATGTTTGCAGCATGCAAGGGTGTTTGCAGCAGCATGCAGGGATGCTTGCGGTGCATGGGGATGTTTGCAGCACACAAGGTTGTTTGCAGCAGCATGCAGGGATGCTTGCAGCACATGGGAAGGTTTGCAGCATGCAGGAATATTTGCAGTGCGTGGAGATATTTGTGGCACACAGGGATGCTTGCAGCACATGAGGATGCTTGCAGAGTGCAGGGGTGCTTGCAGCATGCAGGAACGCTCACAGCACAGGGATGTTTGCAATGTGCAGGGATATTTGGCGCATGCAAGGATGTTTGCAGCAGCATGCAAGGGTGTTTGCAGTGCGCGGGGATGTTTGCAACGTGCAAGGATGTTTGCAGCAGCGTGCAAGGATGTTTGCAGCAGCATGCAAGGGTGTTTGCAGTACGCGGGGATGTTTGCAACATGCAAGGATGTTTGCAGCAGCATGCAGGGATGCTTGCAGCGCACGGGAATGTTTCCAGCACGCAGGGATATCTGCAGTTCCTGAGGATATTTGTGGCACACAGGGATGCTTGCAGCACATGAGGATGCTTGCAGCACACAGGGATGCACGAAGCCACTTTGCAGGAGCCGGGAACACCCGCAGCAGCTTTTCAGGCTTTCCGTGCCTCAGTTTCCCCTTCCCTGAGAGCAAGCGCAGCACAAGGGCCCGTCGGTTCGCTCGGGGCTCGGCCTTGCGGGACGCCGTGGCGCTGGGAAACCTGGCCGCACCGCAGCAGCCTGGCTGGCGGCTTTGCATTCGGGGCTTGGAGAGCGGCCAGGGGGAGCGCTGGGGGCCCGCTGCTCGCCAGATGCGATAAGGCAAGGTTCCGCCGAGGCTGGAAAAAGAAAGGGAAAAAAAAAAA